CGAAATAAAAGGTCTAGTAATTGATCATACTAGTTGCGTCATTTTGTTCGCACCCAATTGAAATGCCAAAGCATGTTGCGATATTTAAAAAAATGACATTTTGGGTTAACAAAACCTTAGAAAGGAGGCCAACCTAAAACCAACTCATCTATTTGAACATTTGTCAAAGAGCTGTAACTCTGAAAGCTTTAAAAGAGCTCTTGATTCCTTTGATATTCTTTGAACTCACGTTTACAATTTGATTCAACTGTGAACAATATTTTATAGCATTTTTATCATTTTCCCTCCTAAAATAAGAAAAATGAGAAAAACATTTTCAAAAAGAACAGTCTCAGATATGAAGGGTCTGTAAAGCCCAAGCTTGAAAAAGGATGGGGCACGATCGATTTCATAGACCAGATTGGCAGACAAAGCACGAGACTCCATCCAAGAGATAAGACATAATTCATTCATAGTGCATGCATCTTAGACATACTTAGGTGCATCACATTCATCATTTTAGCATACACGTTTTTTGCAGCTTTTAGAGTCAAGTTTTGACTTCAGGATGAAGGATACTCGATTCTCAAGCGCCTTCAAAGAAGGATGGTGGGTGCTTAACCTGACAGTAAGAAGCTACATCTCAACCGACTTGACATCTCAGAACCAATTTCAGATAGGTTCGAGAACCAATTCAAATCAAATCCAGTTCGGCTCAAACTCACCATGAGCAACATGTTTTCAGTTAATACTTTAAAGCCAGATTTCAATTCAACGACGGAAGATATCCGGCTGATAGAATTTATTTGTGGGTTTTCTGTGAAGGGGAATCATCCAAAAATCATATTTGGTTCAGACTCGCTCAGGAGAACACCTGAAGAACTACGACCAGCTTAGACATGTGAAGGGGAGCCATTTTTTTAATACAACATTTGCAGTATAACTTAAGTCGAGAAGGGTTATCTGCTAACAAAAGTCATTCGAGTTCGATTACACTCAGCTTCGAGGGCATATCATTTACAACATAACTCAAGGCTAGAAGGGTTATCTGTCACCAAAGACCTTCGAGTTCGACTACGCTCAGCTCCAAGGCATATCATTTACAGCACAACTTAAGTCTATAAGGGTTGTCTGCCAACTCATGACCTTTGAGTTCGATTACACTCAGCTCAATGACACATCATTTGCAGCATAGCTTAAGTCGAGAAGGGCTATCTTCCAAAGACCCCCGAGTTCGATTACACTCAGCTTCGAGGGTACGTCATTTGCAGCATAACTTAAGTCGAGAAAGGTTATCTGCCAACCAAAGACCTTCGAGTTTGACTACGCTAAGCTCCAAGGCATATCATTTACAGCATAACTCAAGGCTAGAAGGGTTATCTGTCACCAAAAGACCTTCGAGTTTGACTACGTTCAGCTCCAAGGAACATCATTTGCAACATAGCTTAAGTCGAGAAGGACTATCTGCCAAAGACCCTCGAGTTCGATTACACTCAGCTTCGAGGGTACATCATTTACAGCATAACTCAAGGCTAGAAGGGTTATCTGTCACCAAAAGACCTTCGAGTTCGACTACGTTCAGCTCCAAGGCACATCATTTGCAGCATAGCTTAAGTCGAGAAGGGTTATCTGCCAACCAAAGACCTTCGAGTTCGATTACACTCAGCTTCGAGGGCACATCATTTGCAGCATAACTCAAGGCTAGAAGGGTTATCTGCCACCAAAGACCTTTGAGTTCTATTACGCTTAGCTCCAAGACACACCATTTGCAGCATAGTTCAATGCATGAAGGGCTATCTATCAATAAATTGTCGAGTTCGATTCTATTCAGCTCGGTGGCACCTCAATCACACTACTATCTGACTGCAATCGAGGTTTTCAAGTCAAGAAAAAGATCTGGATTAACCGTGCCTTAGTGACAATAAACCATTTTCCGGCAGCGTAGCTTAAGTCGAGAAAATCTATCTGTCAACGAAGACTTTTCGGGTTCGATTTTATTCAGCTCGGTAGTTTGTCAACCAGATGGTGGAGTCAAAGAAATATTTTCCAGTCGAATTTTCAAACCAAAGTCTTCAAACAGAGAAAAGACCGAGGCGAGAAGCCACATTTCGATTCAAACTCCGAATTACGGTTTCATATCATATCTTTCAAGATGGACTCGACTTCGCATCGGAGGAGCCATCCGCTACCCAATTCGACAAGGAGTTATTATTCAACTCCATCAGACGAAAATTTGTGTCTTTTTATCTTTGTCCTATTTTTCGTTCCACGGCAAAGGACAAAGAGGGGCAGCTGTATACACTCATTTTCGTCCACATTTTTATTATTGTATATATATATATATATATATAAATTATAGTTTGAAAACGGTTTAAAAATACATATATAATATATAGTTTCTAAAAACATTTTAAAAATGTATATAATATATGGTTTTTAAAACACTTGAAAACTGTATAATATATAGTTTTTAAAATATTTTAGGAAAATATATAATATATAGTCTTTAAAATCATTTTTGGAAAACTTATATAATATATAGTTTTTAAAAACATTTTTTGAAATTTATATAATATATAGTTTTTAAAAACATTTTTGAAAACTTATATAAAATATAATTTTTGAAAACATTTTTTGAAAATCATATAGTTTTTAAAAAAGTATTTTTTGAAAATTATATAGTTTTTTAAAAAAACATTTTTGAAAATTTATATATAATATTTAGTTTTTAAAAAAGAAACGTTTAAAAAAATTATATTATATAGTTTTTTAATATAATTAATTATTTATTATTATTTATTTATTTATTATTGTTATTTATTATTATTTATTATTATCATTTATTATTATTTATTATACATTTATTTTTTTTGTTCAGGGTCTAAAATAAAGTCCAAGATAACCGGGCTTGAAATAGCCCAAAAGTCCTACGAAATGGTCTAGTAACCAGATGATGTTTAGGGTTTGAAAACCATAAAGTCAAGGCACCGCGCAGCAAGGTCAAGGGTCACGCGAAACGGCCAGACGTCGACCGAGGATCCCGGGACTGAACCATCTCGGGATTTCAGCAGCAACGCCCCGAGCAAAATGGAACAACCCGAGGTACTGGTTCACTGAGCAGGGTATAAATACCCCGGGGACTCAACGATCAGAGGGGACCATCAACAGTAAACCGAGAGTTCAAACCAACAACGAGCAAAAACAAATCCAGTAAACCTCAAACCGAGGCCAAAACCACAACCAAATAACACCGAGAAACACAAATAGCCAACAAGAACACTATCACAAAGAAACCACACAGTACCCAAAACACTATCAACACAATAACATCGACCAATAGTAAGACCGAGGACATCACCAACACAATAAACAGAACCCACAACCAACAAGAGAAACAACAACAAAGCATAATAAGAAACCAAAGGCGAAGCCTTTTCTCATCAAAACCAACAAAGAACATCATCGGAGGAAAGGCGCCGGAAAGCGAAGCGTTTCCCTCAAAAAGGTGAAAACCCGAGGCTTGTATGTTAGATCTACGTCGAGGATGGGGTTTTCTGGGAGTTTGAGGGTTATTTTCGGCCGTCATCTCCGGCTGCCGGTGCGTCGACCGGCGCGGAGGAGTGGCCACTGGACGGTGGCCGGGTTACCACCGGATTAGAGAGAGATGAGAGAAATGTCTTTCTCTCATTTTGTAGAGAGAGATCGAAAATGTAAAAATGAGAGAGCTTTGGCCTTAAACGTCGGTTGGAAGATATAAATACCCTCCCCAAAATGACGTAGTTTTGAGGAGGGGTCGATGTGTAATTTTAAAATCTGGTAAATCCCCTTTTAGGGCCTGTAACTCTCAGATTTTACATTTCTGTCACTTAAATCAATTTTTGATATTTTTAATTTTGATTTTCAATTTTATGCATGTTTAATTTGGTCACCTATTTTAATTTCACCTATGTATTTTCAATTCATTCAATTTAGTCCTTTTAATTTTTCAACTGTTCATTGTCTCGATTTATTTATTATCATTTCTTTAATCTTTTTAATTTATATATATATATATATATATATATTTATTTATTTTATTTTATTTTTTATTTATTTTTCTTTTTATTTATTCTGCATTTGTTTTCCTTTTGATTTATCTTTTCATTTCCTTTTTGTTTTTTCCTTTCTATTTCTATTTCTATTTTTACTTTTACATTTTCTTTTCCTTTCTTTTGATTTACTTAATATATTTTTTTTTGTTTTATCTTATTTTCCCTTTTGATTTATTTAATTATTATTATTTTTTTCTTTTGTTTTTATCTTATTTTGTTCTTATGTTTTTTTATTTATTTAAATATTTTTTCTAACATTTTCGGCCCCTTTTTTAGAAGAATTCTGATCAATGGTAAGTAATTCGAATAGAATGTTTTAAATTTTAATTTAATTTTTAATTTTCGTAACTAGGATAACCGGCAATATAATTGGTACCGAAATGGCGGATCAATAGTGCTAATCCTTCCTTGACTGTAACCGACTACCGAACCCGACACGTTTCTGGTACAACACAGATCAGGTAAGATGGTGTCCGACCCACCTAAATTCGTTTTAAAATGGTCGGTGGCGACTCTAACCCAATTCATTCAAGTTGAAGCCTAATTCCAGGGTTCAACCGAAAGACGGTTCCGACAGGTGCCTTTCTACTCATTAACCGTGTCGCTCATGCAACTCTCAGAGGTTGGGAAGCATAATAAATGGCTCTCTTCGTTGTAAAAGCTCAAGCATTTAAGCTTTGAAACTCTTAGCTTTCCCCCCTGCCAATGTTTTTAACTGTCAACTGTTCTCCCATTTTGTCCTTCATGAAGTTATATCAAAACTTCATTTCTATTCATTGGGGGTACCGTAAACTTTTCAAGTTTTATCAGCTTTGTATTTGAATAATGCATTTTGAATGAAATATCTCGAAATGTAAAAGATCTGGATATCCATCCATCCATACATGCATACATATATATATATGTTGGCCAGACTGTAAGCACAAAATTTTCAAATATAATTGCACTAAATTAGGGTGAACTGCAGTTAACTATGACTAAACCACAATAAATGACGTTTGGAATGTTCTTACAGCACATTGAGAGAAAAGCAGAGAAACCCAAATGAGATTTTTGACTTCCATGTCTGAAATCAAAGTGCTGAGCCAACATCTTCATTTTTGGGGTCACGAAACACGACATCAGTGGCCTTGTCTGTGATAAACACCACAAGAACAATGACCTAAACAGCAAGTTGCTGGTGATGGTTGGATTCATCTTCATTTAAACAACAATGGATCTTAACAGATTGAGGGAAATGTTGTAGAGGGGATTGAATTCGCATCCACATTTCCCTTTGGAGAGAAGTGCAGTAGGTTTGGAAAGTTGTAGGTGTCACATTCAATTGGAAGCTCAAACCAAATAAAAAGTCCAATTCAAGAAGGTTCATCTCTGCCGTGCTGATTCCACCCACTTTGGCATAGTAAGCATTGTTGTAATGCCTGAAAAAAGGGTTTAATTGCTTATGAGTATAGTTAAAAAGTAAAAAATGACGGTTAAACAGCTGCTATGATTGCCTGTGAAATGAGTTGAGGATCTTAAGTCAATAATTAATTACTGATTGCGTGGCCTTATTGAGCTGTCATATTCGTAAGCTCTTAAAATTTTATGGGGAATTTACAGGCGTGCCATGGTTGATAGAGACAACACCAGCACATCTAGGGTAATGTTGTCTGGTCAGAAATGATGTGTTCTCTCACATGGCTGTAAGATTTTCATGTTCTCACATGCCTGCTTGAAATCTTGCAGGTAAGGAAATATCAGCACAAATAAACAAGGTTTGCAAGCTCAATCAAACATCAAAATGACGGATTTTGAAGTTGAAAATTGAAAGAGCCATGGCATATACAAAATGTTTAATCTTCAAATATGAAAACCCAGATCAAAACCAGGCGAGCAAAGAAAATGAAAACCCCACAGTTATTTTTCCAGGAATCATAGACTTACATGTCATCCATGAATTTGGCGGAAACCAAGACACTGGTGATGAGCAACCTATGTACGTTGTAAGAATCGATAGGCAAAGACGGCTGCATCTTCACGAACCGATCAAGATAGACATAGGCAACCACAAAACAGGAAGGGCTACAATTTGCGTACTTAAAGATCCTCTCGAGATAGCTTCTGATGGAAATAGTAGGCCTCGTAGTGCCATGAAAAAATGACATCTTCTGCGACTTCAACAACCGGTAATGATCATTGGACTCTGCTACTCTTTCCAACAAAGAAGACAATAAACATATGACCCTGGGAACCATGTCTTGGGCTTCGTTGGTCACCGGTTCTGCCATTCTTTTTTTGGTTTGTCTGGTTTTCTCTGTGTTAGCTTAGCAGCGTCTTATAAAACACCTTTCGTTTACGTTTGGTTTTTTTTTGCTTGGCGGAGAGAAGAAATCATGGAGTTTCGTAGCTGCTCCAGGTCCTATACGCTTAAATAGGAGCACATGTTATTCAGGCAAACTTAGGGTCCATATGAGTTGGGACTCATTTACATGTTTTTTTTGTCAAGTAACAAACTTCCATGTTTGTCTTTTGTTTTTCAATTTCCAAGTCATGCTCTCTCTAAACTTCTTTGACGCATTTAATAGGGTTAAGTTTATCATTATACCATGACTTCAATTTTTATGTACCTTAATCAAGACGTACACAAGATTTTATGTTCAGAGAACAAATTTGAAATTATAAAATTTTAAGGGGGTGAACTTGAAATTTTAGTGAAACAAAATAATTTTTAAATAAAAAAATACATAGATAAAATCTAAAATATATAATAATATTAAATATTTAGGAGGAGCTACCGCCCTCACCCACCCTACTTAAGTCCATCCTTGATACAATACTTATTGTTCCTATAATAAGATGTTCTATTATCTTAATTTCTAAATAAATGTGTTTTTATTCTTATTTCTAAAATAGGTTACCAACGTAATGTAACAACTCTAACCCGTATCCGACCCGAATCCGAGTCTGAGGTGTCCCATCAACTTTCAAAACCTTTACTTGTGCCAAATAATGAAAATTTCCCATTAAAAGAAAACTTCATATTATTTCAAAATAAAAGTTTATAAACTTATCATAGCATATACAATTCAAATTGTTTATCATACATGCCAACTACATTTCAAATAACAAATACATAAAAGGTTGTTTTGATCTGATATCCAGAAGGGAGAAGCTAACATGTCTTGCTCCTCTTAGCTTCTCTTCTTGCTTATCGGAACCTATGTGTGAAATACTCACACGCTAAGTCTATGACTTAGTGAGGCATAAAACATATATAATCAAAACTCTAGATATTTAACTATGCATGAACATTTCACATTTCAATTATTAACTTAATACAAATATCAGATAACCATTCATATGACAACTATATACATGCACATATATCAACATCTTCATTCTTAGCATTATCATTAATCTCTTTTATTATATGATCCTTTATTTGTCATGTATGCGTATCATATATCACATATATCACTTCACACAGAACCCAACACATCATCATACCAAGTTATTGCTGTTTTGACCTCGAAGATATTCTCCTCTCTTTTTCTCCTAATAAGTTCTTCTCTTTTGAAAATTCCTTTCCTCAGACTTTGAACAGGCTTGGGATTGGCTAGTTTAACAATTAATCTAGTTCCATGGACTAAGGTCCCATTTTAGTCTCTCCCCTGACATTAGCTCCTCATTTCTATTTGCAAACCTTACGAAACCGAAACATTTCCCACCTCTACTCAATCTCCTTGCTATGAAATTATCAATCACCTCCCCGTGTCTAGTAGACAGAAACTAGAGGCCTTTCCTGACCATCTTCGATGGAATGTTTTCAACAAAGTGGTTGTGTGTTGATCCTGATTTTGAATATTGTTCCTAGACTCTCCTTCTTTCTTGAGCTCTCCTTCTTTCCTGAGCTCTACTCTTATCCTCCATACTAACGACCTTTCAATATCCTATGTGTTTCTTGAAATCCACAATTGAACTACAGTTTGTGATAAGGTCAATTTTTTAAAAAAAAAGCCTTCTTGCGCTGCCCTCCTATCTTCTGCTCCTTCTTTCCTGAGCTCTCCACCTATCCTCCTACTTTTGCATTTAAATTAAGTTGTAAATTTATTTTAATATAACAGTTGAAAATTTGCAAGTTAATGCACTTTACAAATGATGATACCAATTTTTTTCATGTTTATTTTATTGTCATATATATATATATATATTAATTTTTTAAATTTATAATTACTCTTTCAATAATTTTATTATCAAAATTTAAATATGAAACTATAATGTAATTTATCATTATACTCAATAATTATTGATAATATATTTTTTTTGTTTACAAAAAAAATATAATGGCGTTTAATTAAATATCAGGATCGCCTCTCCTTATTTAAGAAACAAGCTTGATGGAAGGTTTCATGAATTCCTTCAGTCCTTCCGTGATTGTTGAAGCATATTTGATTATGGCATCTGCATCTTTATTTCTACTCCTCGAAATATGTTCAATCTGAAGCTTCCATTGTCGAGTTGTCAATTTTTCGATGTGTTGTAGGATAGTAAGATTTCATTCACTGCTTCCCTATTGTCCGATTCAACTTGCAGTTGCTTTATTCCCTTTCTCCATGCAAGTTGGAGATCAAGGAGAATACCCCACAGCTCAGCTTTCAATGTATTGAAGAACCCTATTTTCATTGTAAACCCTAAGATCCAGCTCCTTTGTGATTCCTTATGATCCCACCACAAGTGGCTTCGCCTGTTCGAGTGTTATGTGCTCCATCAGTGTTTACTTTAAACCACTGTTCTTCCGAGGGCTTCCATCTTTCTTGGTGTTGTCTATCATTTTGTTTTACATTAGTACTCGGGCTGTTATTTCCTTTAGTTATCTCGTCAGTCAAGTGTTTAGCTTTCTCTGTGGTGTCTTCCCTTTTAATCCTCTCCGGTTCGAAAACTCTTCTGTTTCTATTATTCCAAAGTAACCATAAAATAACTCCGAACAGTATGTGTCACTTATTTGCTTAAGTTTTGGCGTAGTAACTACTCTCCAAATTCCTCTTCATCCAAACTCGCAAGTCACAGGTTATGAATGTTGGATCATAAACTTGATCCATTATGGGAGCCTAAACTCAAACCCAAACTAAATTGATGTCATTACTTACATCAATTAGATGAAGATGTCATTGCTTACATCAATTTAGTTAGGTGAGAGTTAGGTATTTGTAGACTTTAATGGTTTAAATTGTTTTATTTGTGTGGTGTAGGATTGTTCTTGAGTAGTATAAATACCCCTCCCCATTTTAGTTTAAGCATCAAGAAAAATTAAAAGCTTCTAAGTGAGTGAAGAAGCAAAGTTTTATAAGAGTGAGTTGTAGTTCTTGTTTTTGAGTGAGAGTACTCTTGTAATATTTGTTTGAGTTTTAATAAAAGTTGTTTGTGTGAGTGTTTTATTTCCAACAAAGTAGCATTAGAGCGAGTTGGAAAGATCGAAGGTCTCGACGAGAGGAATCCGACGTCGCCAGAATTTTCTCAATCTGAGTTCTGACGCACCACCACGCACCGCCGGAAGACTGCTACCAGAAAATCGAGTTGACTCACCGAGTTGAGCCGAGTCAGCCAAGTTGGAGCCCCTTGACCGAGTTGTCCAAGTCCCTCCCAAGGTTTTTCGGCGTTCCGAATTCATCCGTGCAATTGGATTTTGCAAATTCTCATTATATTGAGAGATATGGAAAATGGTATGACACAATTCCAAGTTCCGACACTCAACAACAACAACTAAGACAATTAGAGTATCAAAATAAAGGCACTTCTTGGGTCACAAGATGTGTGGGATATCATAGAGAAAGGCTATAACGAGCCTACGGATGATGATGCTTTTGCTACTCTTACACCAGATCAAAAGACAACTTTGAAGAATTCAAGAAAGAAAGACAAGAAGGCTTTCTACCTCATCTATCAAGCATTAGATGGTGATGGTTTTGAAAAGATTTCGAGTGCAAGCTTTAGCAAGGAAGCGTGGGAGAAACTGCAAACCTCTTACAAAGGATCCGAGCAAGTGAAGAAGGTCCGTCTCCAAACATTAAGAGGTGAATTCGAGTCCTTACACATGAAAACATCTGAGTCTATTTTAGATTATTTCTCAAGAGTAGTAGTTGTTTCTAATCAATTGAAAAGAAATGGTGAAAAGTTAGAAGATGTGAGGATAATAGAGAAGATACTCCGTTCGTTGGATCCCAAATTTGAGCACATAGTCCTGACGATTGAAGAAACTAAAGACTTGGAAGAAATGACGATCGAGCAACTCCAAGGATCATTGCAAGCATACGAAGAGAAGCATAAGAAGAAGCATGAGTTTACTCAGCAACTTCTCAAGCTGCAACTCAAGTATATGTATGAAAGTCAACACAATGATAGAAACCAACGTGGCCAAGGCAGAGGCCATGGACGAGGTGGAAGTCGAGGTCATGGACGAGGCTGGAATTACAACAACAACAATTCCAGCAACAACAATGAGAAAGGAGAAAGCTCAACACGAGGCCGTGAAAGAATCAATCCGAACTCAAAGTATGAAAAATCTCAAGTTCGATGTTATAATTGTCAGAAGTTTGGGCATTATGCTTCAGAATGTAGATCTCCCAACAACAAAATTGAGGAGAAGGCCACCTATGTGGAGGAAAAGACAGATGACAAAGAAACTCTTCTTCTAGCACGAAAGGAAATTGATGGTGGCAAAGCAAATTCCTGGTATCTTGACAGTGGTGCAAGCAATCACATGTGTGGAAGGAAAGACATGTTCGTGGAGCTAGACGAGTCAGTAAGCGGAAATGTTTCATTTGGAGATGATTCCACAATAGCATTGAAAGAGAGAGGTAACATTCTTATCTGTTTGAAAGATGAGAGACATCAATTTATTTCAAATGTCTACTATGTGCCCAATATGAAAGTAACATCTTAAGTTTAGGATAACTGGTAGAGAAAGGTTATGATATTCATATGAATAATTATAATATTTCTATAAAAGATGATAATAATAACTTCATTGATAAAGTGCCGATGTCAAAGAATAGAATGTTCTTGATCAACATACAAAATGATGTTGCAAAGTGTCTGAAAGCTTGCTACAAAGATGCATCATGGCTTTGGCATCTTCGATTTGAGCATCTCAATTTTGGAGGTCTAGAGTGCTATCTAAGAAGGAGATGGTGAAGGGACTACCTCGCATCAACCATCCTGACCAGCTTTGTGAAGGGTGTCTAGTCGGGAAACAATTCAGGAAAATCTTTCCAAAGGAGTCAGGGATAAGAGCCAAGAAGCCACTTGAGCTCATCCATACCGATATGTATGGACCGATCAAGCCAAGCTCTCTCGGTAACAGTAACTATTTTCTTCTCTTCATTGATGATTTTTCAAGAAAA